TTAACTAAACTTTTAATTACGGTCACAAAAACTTTTAAGTTTATTGGTTTAAAAATAGAACGAAAGACAACCAGTGCACGTACTTTATTGTTTCTATATATATATATATGCCTGAATGTGCGTGTATTTATTAATATATCTCTCCTAAAACACCCTTCGAGGCTTAAAAACGTTTGTAGTGTACATGGTTGGCTTTCTAAAGATACAACAGTTTATAGACACCAAAAGATAAAAGAATGATATTTGGATGGTCGACATAGTTGACTGTTATTTTTAGTCAGTCACCATTTTTCACTTGAACTGAATGGTTATTTTGGCTTTAAAGAAATCAGATATTTCTTTACGACGTCAGGAAAAGAAGGATTCCATAATTAACTCCTTAGAGGGGGGGTCTTGAATCTACTTGTTTTTGAAGCCAGTCTGAAATTACTGTGTTTGGAAGTCATGCTTTCTAAAATAACTTCATATCTCTTCTCTTTAGCTATTGAGCTAAACCACAAATTATTGACTTTTTTGTTATATAACTCACTTCCATAAGGGTCCATATATAGCATTTCTTTGAGAGGCTTTGTGTGTTACTACGCTAAATAAAAAAAAACCAACATAAAAAAGGTGGTGAAATCACTTGTTTTCTATGTAAGATACATAGGGAACCCCAGCGGTAAAAAGTGGGGTTAATTGCAGTATTTATGGAATAATTTTCACTTTTGTGTGTGTGACTTATGTTATTAGGGACCCTGTAACCATGATGTACCCGCAAGCAGTTTGCTGTGTAGATGGTTTAGAAAACTGTGTTTAAGAAACTGATGGGATCATGTCAGTAATTCTCGGGTTTATTCAATACTCATTTCATCCTCCGTATATACCGTTTAAGATATTAAATATTATAACAAAGGCCACGTTTTATGAAAGAGAAAAGTGACTACAAAAGTGAGATTTTCAATCGAGATTTTTAGCATACAAGATCGTTGGTCAAATATCTGAATTTCGTATCAAATGAGCCCAAAACCCTCCACCCCTGGTTACTTGTGATATATGTTGATCTAGCTGTTAGGTGATGTTATTATACTTACTACTTGACCATATCTATGTATAATAAACTTTTAGGCACAACCATTCATGAACAGTCAAGAGCAGACTTCTGTAAGCTCAGGTTTAAGGAGAAGTTATTTACTAGAATGTATGCACTTAACCATGCCTCGGGACCACCAGGAACAATCATGTATGATTCAGGTAAGGCTGTTTTGTTTTATCAGAAAAAAAAGGGACAGGTTTTACATTTTCGCACTTATAAACCAACATTTTTATTGGTTTCTGCACAGAAAACAATGTTTATATTCAAAAACTTCCTTCTAAATGCTGCATCTTATCTGCCAACTTTGTATGATGGTGAAGATAATTTTACCATTACATTTTATACAACAGAATAGCTGTGTGTATAGCTAGTGTATAATTGTTTATAGTTCATTGTAGGCCCTCCAATCACCTAATATCACTTATCATCAAGTTTTCTTGGATACTCAGAAATAACTCTCCTGTTTTCCTCTATCCTCTTTGTTCATCCATTTCTTTTGCTCACCTGGATATGTCAGGAGTGAGCTTGCTGATACTGCAGCCAGACTGGTGTTGTCATAGTTTTGCATACTCCTTTATGTAAATTATAAGCTTTTTTTTAGAAATAAGGCTTTGTGATAGTTAATTTGGGGTGATCAGTGTCTGAACAAGTTTTTTCAGATCAAACCTACTGTTAATAATTGGTCATCTAGCTAGTATGATAATCAGAAGGAAGAAGCTGTCCTCATAGAGCTCCACATTGGCCACAGTTTTCTTACAGCTTACTTTCTCTTTCAAGGGAATGAACTATTAGTGAGTGAGTAGTGTGATACTCAAGTCACAATTGACAGATTTTATTTTCATGGCTCTTCAAACATGATTTAACTTCTGGACTCATTTAACGTTGGCCATTGTTGTGTTTTTAGTTTTTCGGACCATAGGTTTTTTAACTGTTTTTTTAACCATATTTGATTAAATAAAACGGTTTGACTTAGATAGCTTATGTGGTTTTGCATTATATATAGATATTAAAAAAATCTTCAAAAACAGTGACATCTAGTGTATAAAACAAAAATTAGAAATATATTATGAAAATTGGCATAAGTTATAAGTGAAAAACAAAATTCTATCGTCCAAATATAACTTATAGTAATATTGTAAGTATTTTCTTAAACCTATATTTTCTTAGATTTGACTTAGGCTTAAAGCCAGAAAGAAATTAATTTTCATAACATAAATCACTAACATAACATTAACTGCATACCTGAATGCTATATAATGAAGTGGAAGACGGTCTAAACACTGAATGAAAATAACCTATTCTTAAAACATCAAGAATATTGGTTTGTCCAGGAAATAACATATGAAACACAGGTATGAAAAATATGTTCAAAAAAGTTAATAAAAATTTGAATACAAAAGAAAAAATTGATTTTTTGGAAAAGTTATAAATTTTCTTCAGAAAAGTGATAGTCTAAAAACCAGACTGAGAAACAT